CTGTCTGCGGCCGCCGTGCGGGCTCAGGGCAGCACTTCTGGGCCTCTGGCGTCTGACAGCAACCGACAGGGCTTTGGCCCTGCGGGGCTGCCCGTGCTGAAGGCCGTGGGGCCTGCTTGGCTGAGCTGCCTGGAGCAAACCCCACGGAAGCATCCTGTGCTGCTCCTGACACGCTGCCCCTGGATGAGGCTCAGTCAGGGCCCTGTCTGTGCGTGTGCTGTGGCAGCAGAGAGGGGGGGTCCCTGGGGGGCTGTCAGAGCAAGCTATTGTTATAAAGCAAACCCCAACTTCTCAGCAGGGAGAGCCAGGAAACGAAAAAGTGCCTTTGGGAGTGGAGCAGAGCTCCAGGAAGTGGCTCTACACCTTCTGGATCGCCATCAGAACCTGAATGACCTCCTTCTGGAGGTAGGAGCCAGTGGTTTGGGGCACAGTGGTCAGGCTGGGGGTCACAGGAGGTCCTGGCTGAGGTGGGTTCTTCCAGTGTCCTTCCTATGGAAGCTGTAGAATCAATGTCCCAGGAACATAGTTTTCATGATAGATGAAAAGAAAAACCAGCACTGGGACTAAGATGGAGTTTGGAGGTCTGTGTGGCAGAAATGAGATTATTTAGTTTCCTTTATTCCTCTCTGTTTTACTGTAACAGACTAAAAATGGTTGAGCATGGTTTGGATTTGGGGCAACGGGAAATCCAGCATCTTTTTCTTAGGGTCAGAACTGGCCTCTTGTGAATATAGGGGGAAAAAAAGTCAGGAGAGACTGGAGTTTTCTCTGAATTACCAACCACTGCTGACTGGTGGGACTGTCTTTGTGAGAACCTGTGTCATTTGCCTATGTAGGTGCTTGGGCCAACGTCCTGACTTGGCCACGTTCTACCTTCTCATACACTGGAGAGAGCTTTTGATGTTAATAATTTGAACAGACAATTCAGATACTTCCCACAGTTCAGCCACAAAGATGTTTCTTTCTGTACAGAATATCTGACTTTATAAAAAGAAAAAAAAATGGGATTTAACTAGAAAAGGATCCAACATTTTGACATGTTTCATCAAATATTTATGGCAGTGTGGCTTCACAGAAGGGACTTGAAAGTCAGAATTCTGGTCCTGGTGCTGCTGCTGGGCTGTTGGGTGATTGGGGACAAGAAAATTTGACTTGTATCTCCTTTTCTCTGCATAAAATGATGACAACTGTTGTTTATGTCCCTTGTAAAGTGCCCTGAAATCTCTGGTTTGCCAAGACCACGTGGGAGCTTGGTGTTAATTTCACTTCAGCTGCTCCAGCCCCCATCACAAACCCAGAGGGGTGTTTGTAAATATGTGTAATAGGCATCCAAGACTGTCCTGTTTTTGTTTGGCTTCCAGGTGGAAGATTGTGTCAAGCCATCTGGGCAGGATGGCTCAGAGCACCACAAAGTACTATCAGAATCATTTATAGGTGAGTGAAAGAGAATCTGCTGGAGACAGACATGGGAAAGGACTTTTCTTCATGTGCTGAATTTCAGCCTGTTAAATGCAATCCCAGTTTTACTTTCTTTTAGTTGTTCTGGTCTTCTCTTCCTCACTCAATTCTTGCTTGTCTGATGATGACATTGCTGGCAAGGTCTCATGGCTAAATATTCTGGTTATTTGAAAATGTTACTGTGAGCCCCACAAGATTAAAATACAAAAATCTGTTTAGCCAGGACATTCCACCTCTACCCCTGGTTTATGTACAGGAGTAACAGATGGAAATGAGAATTATTTCCTACAACTGACCTCTGTGCTGGAAGGGGCTTGAGACCTGGGACTTCCATCTTCATAGTCATGTATTCAAGCCCTTTTTTCTGTCCTGCTGACAGCTTTCTGCTTTGGTTGTGGTTTTTTTTTTCAGCCTCTGTTCTGCAGGAACAGGCCTCAAGATTGGGTGTGCCCACAGCAATCCTGGCAGCCACGAGTGCTGCCACCAACATCGAGCAGATCTGCAGGGCTTCTGCCAGCCCCTCTCAAGGGCCACTGCTGAACTTGGACCAGAGAGTAAGCAAAGGGGTTTATGTTGAGTTGATGAAGAAAGCAGTGTTGGAAGGTTTGGCCTCACACCCTGTTTGCCTGTTCTGATAAAGTCCCCCAAACTCACAGGACCTGATTATTTGTTTAAGTGCCCGATGTGCTCGCAGAAGTGAGGTGTCCTCCTGTGCAGGAGAGCAGCTGGTTTTGCCAGCTTGGAAGGGAAGTTGTCTGTGGCTGAAGTGCAGCATTACACAGGTCTCTCTGAGCAGATCCTGTGCTCTCACCTCTGCTGTGACGTGGTCTCTTGGATCCATGATTCCATCTTTATCAATCGCCTCGGTCTGCGGTGTGCTGTGGCTCTCAGGAGCTCTCCTGTCACCACTGCCAGCCTGGCTGCCTTGAGTTCAGCCTTGAGAGTTGGGGCCTTTCCCATGGTTCTCCCCACCATTCAAGCCTTCAAAAAGCAATAAAAAGGGAAAACCTGCAAATTTCTTTTTCTAAGAATTTATTATTTGCGGAGGAAATGATTTCTGTTTTGTTTCTGGGGTGATTGCAGGAGAGATTGTCTGGCTTGCTGCAAACAGTCAAGGATTTGCTGGTGACCAACACGTTCTGTCGTTCCCACTTCTGTCAAGAGGTGTGGAAAATGAAGGTGAGAGCTCCCAGAGAGACGTTGCTGTGGTACAGGTGGGTTAGGCCTCTCTGGGGGGATGTTGCAGTGTGTTTTCAGCCCCCCTCACCCATGAGGGTTACAGGGATGGGTTCAGGGCTGTGAGTCTCTTCCCTTCAGTGGGTTTCTCAGTGACCTAAGGCAGCTTTGCCACTGCTGGTGGTCACCTGCAGTCATGAGCCCTTCCTGAGAAGCACTGTGGTCTTCCTGATCTTTCCAAAGCATGAACTGAATGATAAATGGAGGGGCTTTTGTTTGGTTTATTTATTTTAGAGCAAGTTCACTTGGAGCTTCCATGTCTCTGTAGCAAAATTTGCTTTTTTGTAGCAGACCTAGCAGGGGTTTGGAAGCAGGTGAATGATAAGAATTGTGTGGCCACTTCTGAGAAGCTGCCACAAAGGAGAGCTGACAGCCTCTGGGGGAGGAGGGGGTGGTTTTGAGGGGGCTGGGTGATCAGTCCTCACCTGGAACCAGCCAGCAGGGCCATGGCAATCCCTGTCTGCAGTTACAGTGTGGTGAGGAGGGTCAGCTCAGCTGAGGTGACCCCACATGCTTATAGAAGCTTTGGGGTATCATTTTCTTTCCTGTTTAGCTTCCCTGCCTTGCTCTTACTGGTGAAGTACTCTAATAATTCTCTCCATCTGTTGTTTTGCTATCTGGGCTATACAATCCAGATTGAGGGGCTGGAGCGTGACCAGAGAAGGGCAACAGAGCTGGGGAAGGGTCTAGAGCCCAAGTGTGGGGAGGAGCAGCTGAGGGAGCTGGGGGTGCTGAGCCTGGAGCAAAGGAGGCTCAGGGGAGACCTTCTGGCTCTGCACAGCTCCTGACAGGAGCCTGGAGCCAGGGGGGGTCGGGCTCTGCTCCCAGGGAAAAGCAGTAGGTCAAGAGGAAGCGGCCCCCAACCTCCCCAGGGGAGGCTGAGGTTGTCCCAGAGAAACAATTTCTCCCCCATGAGGGTTGCCCAGGGCTGTGCCAGGCTGCCCAGGGCAGTGGTGGAGTCCCCACCCCTGGCGGGGTTCCAAGCCGTGGAGATGTGGTGTGAGGGACACGGGGCAGTGGGGACCTGACAGTGCTGGGGAGTAGTTTGGCTCCATGATCTGAAAGGTCTCTTCCAACCCAAACATTTCTGTGACTGAGCAGGCAGTGCTGAAGCTCCAGCTGGCTCTGGGGTGCCAGGGTCCCACAAGCCCTTGGTGTGCTTCACCAGCAGTATTTGGTGCCTCTTTGGCATTCTGTGTGCCTGGGAGTGGTGACAAGCCCGAGGGAGTTCATGCAGAAAACAGCCTGAGGGAAATGGGATAGCAGACAACAGGTTGTGTTGCTTCACAAATGGGCTGTCTTGATTTCATTTGTGTGGCTTGTTCCCTGAAGATAAGGGGTGCTCTAAGTGGGGTTAAGGACTTCTGGTGAGCAGCACAGTTTTGGTTGCTGGCTGCTCTGGTGGGAAAGGAGAACGAGACTGATCTGCCAGGATAAGGAGCTGTGCTCCAGGCTCAAATATCCAGCCCTGGGCTGAAAATAGAACCCCCTGTGTGTTGTGGGCTGATGGAGATCTCATTCATTCTCAGGTAGACGTGGAGATCAAGTGCTGTCCTGTAATTGAGATTGTTACAGTAAAGAATTAGGTTGTCAAAGGCAAAGTCTGTGGGCGAGTCTGGGGTCATGGCACCAGGCAGCTGCTGGTTGCTGTGGGGAGCTGTGGGGGTTTGCTCCTGCATGGCTCATGTGCTGTAGGCTCCCAAGCACCTTGTGAAGGTTTTGTCTGGCTGGAAGTGTCTCTGTGTGGAGGCTGGAACGAGCAGAAGTTCCAGCAGAAGCTGCAGCCTCTCTCTCTCTCTGTCATCTCCTGTTGGGGAATGGAATGGAGAGCAGCAAACTCACATTACAGAGAGTAATAAAGAGTTATTAGGCCAAACCATCATTCTCTAATCTGCTTCTGGATCTCAATTAACAAGACCTGAAACTTCATGGTGTGTCCTGTTTTCTGGGATATCTTTGAGTGTGCAGCATCAGCATTATTCCAGGGGGACAAAGATGGAGAGATTTATTCCTTGACCATGAATCTTTAAAGTTATGATACATCTACAACCCTAAACAGTTCCAAACTCATAGGAAGGAAAAACCAAATATCAACTTTCCTCCTCTGTTGTCATTTTAAAATCTGAACAAATCCTGGATGGTTTGAACAAGCAGAACTTAGTTTTATTATTTGTGTAGTTTACAGTAACTAACTGCCCAACACAGGCTGTGAGCTAATTGTGATGTCTCATTAGGACCCTCCAGTGCTGGAAGTTGTGTGGCACCTGCACAGAGGGGACATCGTTGGCCTGGGAGAGCTGCTGGAGAGGTGAGCAGAGGTTTGTAGGTTTGCAGATGTATTTAATCTCCTAAAACCTCTCCAAATGTAATCGGGGATTACTCGGGAGTATTCTGGACTAAGAATACAGTCAGGTGCTGGCAAGGGATCAGATTAGCAGGAGTTAAGAGGTTACCCTGGTTGGGGAGGTTATTCTGGGTTAATTAGTGTAGCTGAAGGGGTGGGGGAGGTTGGTGGCTGTCGAGTCAGCCACAGCACCTCCCTCTGCCCCAGGCCTGGTGTGTCAGTCAGGCTGGGCAGAGTCCATCTCCACTGGAGAGTGACCCCAAGAACTGATTTATTCCCCCTGCCCAACACTGGGGTAACAACTCAAACCAGTTAAGTGTTGTGGAGTTCAGGTTGTCTCCTTGGGGTGTCAAAGGAATGTGTTAGAGCAATCTCAGGCTTTTGATAGTGGTTTACTTGTCTCCTAATGGGACAGGAGAAAAGCCTTCAGTGCCCACTGTGCTTCACCTTTAAGGAAACTAAAGGGATTGATTAAGAGCTTGAATTTTATTTTGAAAGCATTTTTATCCAAGTATCTTAGAAATAAGACCTGAAGTCTTTAGCCTGAGCCAGCACTGTGTGCAGGTGGCCAAGAAGACCACCAGCATCCTGGCTTGTGCCAGCACCAGTGTGGCCAGCAGGACTGGGACAGGGATCATTCCCCTGGACTGGGCACTGGGGAGGTTGAACCTCAAATCCTGGGATCAGTTTTGGGCCCCTCACTCCCAGAAGGACCTTGAGGGGCTGGAGCGTGGTCAGAGAAGGCCATCGAAGCTGGGGAAGGGTCTAGAGCCCAAGTGTGGGGAGGAGCAGCTGAGGGAGCTGGGGGTGCTGAGCCTGGAGCAAAGGAGGCTCAGGGGAGACCTTCTGGCTCTGCACAGCTCCTGACAGGAGCCTGGAGCCAGGTGGGGGTCGGGCTCAGCTCCCAAGGGACAAGAGACAGGACAAGAGGAAACAGCCTCAAGTTGCCCCAGGGGAGGTTGAGGTTGTCCCTGAGGAAAAATTTCTTGCCCTGGAGGGTTGTCCAGGGCTGTGCCAGGCTGCCCAGGGCAGTGGTGGAGTCCCCACCCCTGGAGGGGACACAGGTCAGTGGAGACCTGGCAGTGCTGGGGAAGGGTTGGACCTGGTGGTGGTGGAAGACCCAAGAGTTACAAAGAGCAGGAGGGCCTGATGTGACTGTGCTTTGTTGTTCTCAGCAGCCCAGCTGTCCCTGCTGTGGTGGAGTGGCTGAGCAGCAGCCTCCGTGGGCTCTGCCAGCTGGCAGAGGGGCCCTGTGGGGACGTGGAGCTCGCCGGGCACCTTCTCTCAGGCAAGAAACAGCTGGGTGCTGGTGGAGCAGGGCTGGCTGGGGGTTGGCACAAGAGCTAAAGGCTTGGAGGTGAAAGGACAGAGGCCTTGCTTTGCCTTTCTCTGACTCCTTTCAGTGAGGGGAGTACTGAATTTCTGTATCCCCCTGGGTGACAGCACCATGAGAACATGTGGTTGCAAGGTGTACCAGGGTTGATTTATGGAGAGTGTGACACTCCTGCAAAGAGTCTGAGATACCTTGGGTCAGAAATATTTAACAGTTTCCCTTCCCCCCTGCCATTTTATATACTGTATTTGGTGTTTTTGTTTGGGGAAATCACTACACAATTTGACTGAAAAGCTCTGGACCAGTGCAGTTGGTCAGGTACAACCCCTGTGAGTTCTGCAGTGGCAGCAGAGCCTAAGACCTGTAAAATCTTTGGTCCTTGTAGTCCTTTAAGTGCCTGTGGTCTTCACCATCCATTGTCCTAGGCCCCTTTGCCTGGGAGTAATTCTACTCTGAGAAAATAAATGATTCCGCTGTGTGGTGACTGAGGCTTTTCAGCCGTGGTCCTGTGGGGAGGGGGAAGTGGGGAGGTGAAGGTGAGTGGGGTGTGCTGAAAGGGCAGTGTTCAAACACTGATTCCTCCTTCCTTTGCAGACCTGGCGATCCTGTTTCTTCAGAATGGCTTTCAGCTAGCTCCAGAGCTGGGAAGGCAGCTGGAATTCAAGAAGGTTCCCCATGTAAGGAGAAAATGAACCTATTGATTAAGGGTTGGTTAAAAAAAGTCCTTCCATTGTACACCTCTGGGCCTTACTATAAAGAAACCAGAGCAGCACAGGCTGGTGGGCCAGGTGCTGCAGTGGGAGAGGAGGGAAAGGTGAAACCACAACCCAGCCTTTTTAATGGAGAATTTCTCCTGGGTGACACATCAAGGGCTTTTTAAGCTTCCTGGGTTTCACCTTGATTGCTGTTTTTCCCGTTTGAAAGTGAGGTGGGGAATGCTGGTGAGCATGGGGGATGTTGCTCTGCTGTGTGTTGTATCCATTCTGCAGGAGAGCCTGAGGTAAAAGGAGAGCTCTAAGAGGGACTGAACTCTTCATTCGAGTCAATTTGCCTTTTCTGCATGTAACTGTAGCACTTTTAAACTCTCAATGGTCTTAATTTCTCAATTCTGAACAGATCTGTCACGCTGTCTTACAAAGGATGTTGACATGTAAGTGTCTTTATTTGTCTGACAAACTTAGGCTCCTTGTTTCTTGCTGAATTTCCAAGGAGGATTCACAGAACCCTTTGCCTGGGATGCTTCTCTGTCGTGCATGAGACTTATGCCACTGATTCTGTGTGTCTCTGCTTTCCCTTCTGCTGCTGTGACGTGCCTCCTCACGCTGCAGATACCTCCTGCCTCTCCTGCTAGTTCAGTGTGGTGCTCCCAGCTCCACCAGCTCAGTGCTGAGCAGATCCTCACCAAGTTTGGAAGCAGTTGGTAGCCCAGACCTTCAGCCAGGCTCATTTTTTTTTTCGCCCTGCTTAGTAAATCAAACTTCACCTTCACAAAGCCATATGCAAATAAGCCATTTTGCTGGCTCACGGGTTGGATTTGCAGGCTAATGTTTTGCAAAAGCTATTTTTGGCTTTAATGCTGAGCAAAGACACCTGATGTGTTGTCCTTACACGGGCAGGGGCTGTCCCAACAGGCCTGGCTTGGCCTGGGCAGTCTGGCTGCGGCCAGCTCCGGCGTCGCAGCGCCTCTTCTGCATCACAAATCCTGAGGCAGCAAGACTTCAACACACACTAGGGTGATTTTTTTTTTCCACCTTGTGGAAGCAGAAGCAGCTCTGGCTGACACCTCCTCACGTGTAATCTGTGTGGCTGCTGCTCCTCCCCTGTCTCCTTAGTGACAGGCTGCACCACGTTTCTCGCTGGCGTGTGTCTCGCAACGTGCTCAGTGCTGGTGCTTTTCCTCTGCTGTAAGATGCCTGAGAACCAGGACGTGATGGATGCTGCTCCCTCCCTGTGGGTGCTGCCAGCCTGATCCTGCAGCCCGTGGGAAGCCTTGTCTGTAGGCAGAGTTCCCTTACAGACCCTGCAGGGCGAGTCTGAAAGGGGAGAGCTGCTAGAGAAGCACTTTATGATTTCAGATATAGAAGTCCCCTCTTGGGTGGCCCTCTAACAGTGTTGGTCCTTGAAAAATAACCCTTATAAACGCTGGGTGAGGGGGTTTTGGAGGAAGAGAAGCTGGCTGTTGGCAGTTGGACAGGAGTCTGCCCACCTCCTCTTCACTTGACATTCAGCCTGTGCTGCCGTGCTCTCTGTGTCTGCAAATGGTGTGGAGCGAGTTTCATGTGAGGGATTTTCACTAGTGTGTGCTTTTGGGTCACCTTTGAGGGGTTTCACTTAACTCCTCAGCTGCTTTGGGGAACATTAGGATTCTTGATGTAAAAGAACTTGGTTCAGAAAGACCTTGATGGGAGGAGAAGGACAGGCTGGGCTCTGAGCGTGGCACGGGAGCTCTGCACCTCATAGGACTGATCCTGAGCGTGCTGAGCTGAACTCCCGTGCCTGAAGATAAGTAGAGTTTATCTCCTTTTCTCCATTCTCCCCTACTTAACCTTAAAGTATTCCTCAGCAGGGGAGGAGAGCATTACCTATTAGCTCTAGGGGCTGCCTTGCATGTGAGGGCCATGGGGATGCACCTTTGCTGCCCCAGCTCAGTGTTAGCTGTTAAAGGGGAGGCTTTTACAGGCAGGGTGGGGCAAGGAACAGGAAAAGTGCTGCCACAGTGGGCTGGGAAGCAGAGTCTCTCAGTACATGCCTTCTGAGTGGTGCAGGCTGATGTTGAGGCAGCATTTGACTTCTACCAGTCATTTTGGGGCAGATTTGGAAGGAGTTTCTGCTAAGCAAATGTCACAGAGTCCCAACAGAGTTGGTTGTCACAGAGTTACAACCATGGGCAGTCACAGCAGCACACTCTTTGTCTGGCCAGGGCAGTTCAGACCCTTGTTTCCAGGGGCTGTTACTTCAAAGCTCTCTTTACAAATCCCTGCCTCCAGACAGACTTTTGTCTTTTTTTCTTAATTTTTGCATCTTTGCTGGGTTCTGCTTGCAGGTGCACTGCACTGTTAGGATTAGGTTTGGAAACTAAATCCTAATTTATGTGCATTTTTAGATGGCTTAATTATTAGCCCATTCTTGGGAATGCTTTAAATTGGTTCAAGGTTAGTGTTAATAGTCTGTGAGTCTCTGTGTCCCTTCTGAAAAAGATCAGGAAGAATTTAACACTGCTGAGTGGTTTCTGCACGTTTCCCCAGTGGGGTGACCTTCTGGGCACAAAATTGCTCTTTCCTTCTTGTCCTTGTTCTGCATGTGCTTTAGTGTCACAGCTCCTTTAATTCCCATTTCTCTCACTGTGGTTTCGTGTCTTTATTTTGGGGTACAGGGGTGCTTGATGCTGTTGGTAAAGCAAAGCAGGAAGATGCTTCCACGTTGCAAGCTATGAGGTTCTGGTAAGAAACACTGCTCCTTAAATAACATCATGAGGAGGGGTTTTTATCCACTACTACACTTATTGCTGAAACATGGGGAACGTTGTGGGGTTTTAAAATTTATTTACACAGACACACCCTGGTGCTATTTATTAGGGAGGAGAATATGAAGCATAAAAGGTAGAAGTTAAACATCAAAGATCAAAACTAAATCTAAAAGGGAAGCATGGGGTAGGAAAGGGTGTTCTGGCAGGGCTGGAACCAGCTGTGGAGGGTCCTCTTGGCACTTGCTGAGTTTTCTCACTCTGCTTCTGAGCAGAGACACCTGGATGGTGCAGTCATCTCCAATTCCTGCTTCCAAATCTGGTCTGTTGAACTGCTTTGTACATGTCAAAGCTTTGTACATGTCAACCTTCAGTCCTGTCCCAGGCAGCAGTTTACATCAGGCTGAAGTCTGTAAATCTGGGCACTACATAACGTTGAGTAACCAATAGGTTTAAAAAATATTGATACAAAAAGCATATATCTGGCAATTTGGTAAGAGAGATGGAGAAGAGAAAGGAGTGGCTAATCAGTACCTGGTTGATCCTGCTTGCTGTGCAGGGCTCCTGACTGTGTCCTTGTCATTGCAGGCTGAATGTGTTCAGTGTGTCTCTTTATAGAGGTGCAGTCCATCCAGATTCCTTGCAGCAGTTTTTCAGACACACCCTGACTGAGGTTCTTACCTACAACCCGTTGCTGAAAGGTAGGAACAGGTGGGGAGAAGTGTCTCCAGGGTGTGTTATTGTGTGTCCAAAGCCCTGTCCATCCCACACAGGTCTTGCTGGATGAGGTCCAGCCTGGAGAACCCCAAGCCAGAGCAGCTGCCTGACTCCCAGCAGTTGTGTAAGCAAGGGACTGATGAGAGAGAAAAAGTCCATTTAGAGGGCTGTAGTTCAGGAGAAAACTTCAGGTGGAACACTGGTGTCTTCAGCCAAGGGCTTGTGAGCAGATCTTTGGATTAACATCTACTAGCAGCCTTTACAGAGCTCTGGCTGCTGAGAGCAGCTCTGGCCACAGGAGGTGCTGGGTGGGGGAGAGCATGGGGCCAAAGTGCTCTGGCCCCTGTGTGTGTTTGGGCTTAGGCACAAGATGTGGCCTTTCCCTGCTGACTGGGAGCTTCTTTTGGTAGATTAGAGGTAAAGGTAGAAAGGCTTCTAATCTATGACTGGTAACTGGGAAGCTTGATGGGAAGAGAATGGAAGAAATATATTTGGGCTACAACATCTCTGGTAAAATCACTCTGAGCTGCTTTCCATTGTGGGAGAGGTGGGTCATTGCTGACTTACAGAATCAGAGAATTGTTTTGGTTGGAAGAGACCTGTAAGATCATAAAGTTGAACCATTAACTCAGCACTGTCAGTTCCCCACCAAACTGTGTCCCTTAGCACCACAGCTTGGAAACCCCTCCAGGGGTGGGGACTCCACCACTGCCCTGGGCAGCCTGGCACAGCCCTGGGCAGCCCTCAAGGGCACAAATTGTTCCTCAGCTCCAACCTCAACCTCCCCTGGGGCAACCTGAGGCCGTTTCCACTTGTTCTATCACTTGTTCCTTGGGAGCAGAGCCCGACCCCACCTGGCTCCAGGCTCCTGTCAGGAGCTGTGCAGAGCCAGAAGGTCTCCCCTGAGCCTCCTTTGCTCCAGGCTCAGCACCCCCAGCTCCCTCAGCTGCTCCTCCCCACACTTGGGCTCTAGATCCTTCCCCAGCTCTGTTGCCCTTCTCTCGACCCTCTCCAGCATGCTTCCAGTTGGAAGAGATCACTGAGGAGGACTCTGGTTCCTTGCTGGCCCTGTGTGTGTGCTCTGTTGGCCTGTGAACGTGTGACTGGAAGAACACCTCTGAGCTGACAGTGCCACAGTTGCCACAGTCCCTGTTCCAGAGACAAATGGAAGACAGAGGATTTCAGTGGGCAGTTTTTAGCGTAGCCAAAAGAGAATCCTGGTGGTTAACTCCTGCTGCATTTTGGGTGTATTTTAAAGCCTGTTGCTGATGGGTAAACTCTTCTCTTTCTGAGTGCAGTGTCTGATGCCATCCGTCTGCAGAAGGAGTGGAGCTTTACAAGAACTTGTCCCCTGCTCACTGCCTTGTACCGCAAAGTAGGTCCTCCTGCTTCCACCAAGGGAGGTCTGCTGTGCTGGGTTTATATTCACTGAAATATCTGAAATGAGGTTATTTAAAACCAGTGTGCTCCAGTCACAGAGTCTGAACCAGCTGCCAGGGGCTGTAGGCAGGAGGAAGGATGAGGCAAAAGCACTACAGGGGTTTTTGGAAATCTCTTACTGAGAACAGAGATACTGATTGAAGATGTGACTTTTCACTGCTAGAGAGCATGACCAACTAAAGAACAGAGAATATCTGAAAGAATTTAGATATTCCTGTTTATTTCAGCCAGTGCTGGTTCCAGTCCAGGGTGATACCTGGCCCTGGAAAGCTGGTGCAGAGCTGCACCCTGGATGGCTTTTTCAGAAGTCATGCAAAAGTCAGCTGCACGTGAAGCTGGGCCCTGTGTTTCTGGTTTGGGTGGCTGTAGGTGACAGTTAAAGTGAACTGCTGTCCCTCTTCCAGCTCTTCGTGGCACTCAGTGTGAAGGAGTCCATCTGCCAGCTGCAGCAGGTGCTGGAGACCCATGAAGTGAACTGGCAGCACGTCCTCTCCTGTGTTTCCACGCTGGTGGTCTGTCAGGCTGAGGCTGAGCAGCTCTTCAAAGGTACATGGCTACTGGCAAGCCCCAGGGGAACACCAGCTTGTGGCTCCTCATGGTCTGGGAGGGAGCTGTGCCCACTGGTGTGGCAGCAGAGTCACTCCTAGCTGCTGGTTTGAGGTTCCTGCATGGAAAAGACTCACAGAAGATCTGCCTTTCCATCCAGACATCCCACATCAGTGGTGATGTGGATGCCAGGCCTTGTGCTTGATGCTTCTCAAACTCTCTGTACAGCTCAGCATCGTTATTTGATAATTACCTTATTAATTGGAGTAGCAATTATTGAAGCTTAGTTCTGTCTCACCTTTGCTATCAGAGTTTCTTGCTGATTATCTCATCACTGGTGTCCCTGCAGTTCTTGCAGTTTGAAAGTCCTACAGTGAGTCTTCAGTCCTTAGCACAGGAGAGACAGGGACCTGTTGGAGCAGGGCCAGAGGAGGCCACAGAAACGACCTGAGGGTGGAACCCCTGTGCTGGGAGGCCAGGCTGAGATCATTGGGCTTCTTCAGCCTAGAAAGGGGAAGGCTCCAGGGAGACCTTGCAGCCTTTCAGTACTTCAAGGGGCCTGTCAGAAAGCTGGGGACAGAGTGTTTAGCATGGCCTGTTGCAACAGGACAAGGGGGGATGGTTTGAAACTCAAAGAGGGAGATTTGGACTAGAGAGAATGACTTTTTGACAGTGAGGGTGGTGAGCCCCTGGCCCAGGCTGCCCCGAGAGGTGGTCACTGCCCCATTCCTGGAACCATTCCAGGTGAGGTTGGATGATGCTCTGAGCAACCTGCTCTAGTTGGGGATGTCCCTGCTCCCTGCAGGGGGCTTGGACTGTGACCTTTTAAGGTCCCTTCCCACCCAAACCAACCTGTGATTCTATGAAATCCAAGAATATTTGACTGTTGAAAATAACATGAAAAAAATCTAAGTGTGTCCCAAAGGTTCCCCAGGCTGCAGTGTACATCCTTTGTGTCCTGGCTGGGCTGGGCTGGGGCTGATCTCCCCCTGTAGCTGGGCAGACAGCTGGAGCAGGGGGGGGTTCTTCCCTGCCAGGCTGATCCGTGCCCAGAGCAGCAGGGCCAGCAGTTTTTGGGGCTGGGGGGGGTCTGAGCTGGGGTTTCTGTCTGGAGCCCCTGCAGGGGTCTGTTTCCTTGTACCCTTTTTTATATGTTGTTCTACCTGTTGTTACTGCTGTTGTTTGCTGTTCCTTCTGCATTGTTATGAAATTCTCCTTACCTCAGCCCACAGGGGGTTGTATTTTTCCCCCTTTCCTCCCTCCCATGCAGGGGTTGGGGGATGAGCACCCACATGGTGCCCAGCTCCTGCCTGGGGCTGAACCCCCACAACGTGGCAGATGCTTTACCACAGGTATTTGTCTTGACTTACTGTAGAATGCTACAAGAGACGTTTGAGCTTGTTGTATGTTCCTAGATCTCCTGAGCTGTCTCCTGGTAAAGGCCTTTGAGCACTACGACATGGAGAATCTGATCACTGCCTTCCTGATAGCCCGTCAGGCTGCCCTGGAGGGCCCTGCTGTGTTCACACCCTACTCAGAGTGGTTTAAGGTAAGCTGAAGAGAGGCCTGACTGGGAATCTTTGTTTAAAATAGGTGAGAAACCTGAGCATGAGGAATGGTGTTTGCTGCACAGCAAGTACAACTTTCAGACAAGATAGCTGGGAGTTAAAGGAGGCAGGAAGAGTAACAAGTGACTGTATTGGTTTTAGGAATGATTAATATTTATCACTGCCTTTGTGTCTGCAAAGAATATATTTATTTGGCTTTCTCCAGTCCTCCCTTCTTTCATCTCCCAAGTCCACCTTGCCTTCTCTAGTGATTTGTCAGGAATGCAGACATGTATTTCCTGCTATAATCATCATCCTGGGTGTCTTTCAGTATCTTGATAACCAGCAGTGTTGTTGTTGCATAAGCTGCAGGTTTTTGCAGATGAAGCATTCCTACTTCCTGGCAGTTTGCAGGCAGCTGTAATTGCTGTGTTGGGCCTGGCTGGTAACTGGTCGTTAGCTTTTGGTTGTAAACATGTTGGTATTTTAGGTATGCAAATCTCCAGGTAACTTAAACCTGTACATTCCTTTCTGTGATGGATCAAAAGGTCAGCTGCTTATAGGATCCTAGAATCATTAAGGTTGAAAAAGGCCTCTAAGATCATCAAGTTCAACTGTCAACCCAATGCTCCCATGACCACTAATCCAGGTCCCCAAGTGCCATGTCTACACATTTTTTGAACCCCTCCAGGGCTGGGGACTCCAGCACCTCCCTGGGCAGCCTGGGCCAAGGCCTCACCACTCTGCCAGGAAAGAAATTCTGCCTATTATCCAACCTCAGCCTTCCCTGAGGCAACTTAAGCTCATTTCCTCTTGTCCTGTCACTTCTTCCTTGGGAGAAGAGACCAGCCTCCTTTCAGTGATTTGTAGAGAGCACTAAGGTCTCCCTCAGCCTCCTCTTCTCCAGACTAAACAATCCCCATTCCCTCAGCCACTCTTCATAAGACATGTTTCTCCCCCAGACCCTTATACTTCATGTAGTCTCAGACTGGCTCATTTTCCTTATCATGCCTAGAAAAGCTGTGTAGGAACAGGCAGATTTGTGGTTCCCTCATGAATTTCAACCCTCTGGTGCTTTTTGGTGTTGCCTTGTTTAATTCCTCTGAGTGGCAGCCCGTCAGAACGACCTCTGAGCATGACATGGGAGGACTGCTGGAAACTGACAAAGAAATGCCAGGAAAACTTGTTTAGAGGCTTCTCTAGAGCTTCTCTGGAGACTTTTCTCCAGGAGGGTTCTCTTGACAGAAGGCAGTTACCTGTGGTGGTTGTCTGGGAGTTACAACAAGCTGGGGTGGGGGTTCCCTCCATGCTGAAGGGCTGTGTTGTCATTTCCTCCCCATTTCAGGCATCCTTTGGGAGTGCTGGTGGTCACCACGGGAGCAGCAAGAAAGCTCTGGTCTTCCTCTTTGAGTTCTTGTCAGAGCTCGTGCCCTTTGAAGCAGCACCATACTTGAAGGTGAGAAGATGCTGACAGAGATGGTTTTCTAAAGACTGATGGAGAACCACTGAAAAATGAACGTATTTGAGCCTTCCAGTGGCTTCCCCTTACTATTATTGTCACTACAGTTATTGCATTGCTTGTCTTCAACTTGGATCAGCATACTATTAACATTCTTATACTAGTTCCATTAATTCTGATACATTTTTCAAACCCTTTTTCTCCCTGAAATAAGGAAGGATGAGATTCGTTTATTTATTTGACAAGAAGGAGAATTCCTTTTGTGGAATTGAACTCAAGCACTTCAGTGATTATTATAAATTTTGTTGCTTTTGTGGAAAAATTGCACATCTGTTGCCATGAAAATGGTAATCCTTAAATTCTCCAGGGGGCCTACAGGGAGGAAAGTACTTCAGAAAATGGCTTTTCTTAAAAAAAGCATTAGTGTCTTCTTTGGGGAACATCTGAGGTGAAAGACTGCAAACCTTAACCAGGATTTTACACGGATTTCCCCTAAAAATGGCAAATCTTGCTGTGAATGTCACATTTCAGGTCCATATAATGTACCCGCCGTTCGTGCCAACGAAACATCGGCCCATCCTCTTGGAGTACATCACTCTGGCCAAAACCAGACTGGCTGACCTCAAGGTCAGTGAAAAATGTCTCTTGGAAGAGTTCCTTCTTCCTGGGCCCGTTGAGCTGCGAGCTGTGGTGACCACGGGCACCTCTCTGTACCCTTGCACAGGTGGCTCTAGAAGATATGGGGCTCTATGAAGACCTGTCTTCCACAGATGAATCCTTGCAGGTAGTGCTGCTCTGTCTCACTGTTTTCTCACCAGTCGTGCCCCTTTTCCCTGGAATAGTGCTTAGGTCATGCAGCTCTCTGCCCTTCCTGACTTTGAGCATGCTTCCAAGTCCCCAATGTTCAGACAGAGAGGTTAGCAGCCATAAATATACAGATTCTTGCCCTATTTCCTGAAAACTAGACTTACACAGAGGACAGACAGGCTGTGGTGAGTATTCCATGGTGAGGCTGCAAAGGGGCTTGATTAGCTTTCCTGGAGTTCAGCTAGAGCAACCTGGTCTGGCTGATGACATCCCTGCTCACTGGGGTTGGACTAGATGAGCTTTAAAGGTCCCTTCCCACCCAAACCATTCTATGAAATAGCCAGCTACTAGCCAAGCAATACCTATAGTAGCCATCCAGCCAGGGAAGGGCTGGCTGCCTCTTGCCCATGCTGTGCTGTGGGGTTTGGTGGAGGAGGATTTAAGGGGCAAAGGGAGATCTAATGGTGGTGTGGGGGTGCAGAGTGCAGGTCTGCAGGAACTGGGGCTGCCTCAGCTCTGACAGTTGACCAGCTCGTTGCAGTGCTGCTGTTTCCCTCCATGGATTTGCTCCCAATGATTTGATCACTTGGGAAAGTATTTTTTATATATCTATATCTTGATTCTTTTCAGTACATCGTGTCACCTCTTTGGTGTTGCATTCAAAGTGTTCATATTTACAGGAGAATTGGGGAGGGAATCTACAGTCTGCAGTCTCAAACTCTGTTTTGTGATAAGTTTTGGGGAACGGCACTATTTGCTGAGGAAGCATTTGACTCTACTGCTCCTTCCCATGTACTGATCACAAGTCTGGCAGTCTGAGGTGCCTCATTTACACATCCAGTCAGCTGGAGGGCACGAGGGACAGGCTGGTGACAGGGCAGTTGAAAGTGCCTCAATGAATTCTAAACCTGTATGAACTGAAAGCTGTCAGTGAAGATTTTGTTTCCTCCAAGCCTGATCTGTTTGCCACTTGAGAAACCAGCCCAGGTTGTTGTGGTCTTGTGATGTCTTGTGGCTTGAACCAGAGGAACCTGGGCCAGCAGTGTAGGAGCACGGGCTGGGAGCAAAGATTATGGGCCTTAATTCCAAATGCATGAGCTAAAATAGGATGACAATAAACCAAATTCAGGACAGAAAAGGTTCTGTGCCCATGGGGATAATTGAAGAAGCAACGTGGCGAGCAGGAGCATCTGCTGCTGTTGCTGGAGGACCTCTGGGCTGACCCAGAGTAGCTGCTATCAGTAGCAGCCTTGTCAAGGCAGGCTGGTGGTTCAGGCCTGGTTCCTCCATCCTGCAGCTTCACTCTGCATATCAGGTAGTTCTTGTTATTCCGTTGGGTTGGCTCAGTCACCTCCCTTCCCAGCACAGACAACTGCTGCTAACCCTGAGACAACAAGCAGGGGAGGTGATGGTTGCCCTTGATTTCTCACATCTTTCTTTCCTTGTGTGAGCCAGCCCCAGGGCCAGGCCCTTCGGGACGTTGAGAAGGCCCTTCAGATCTTTGAGCACACGAGGAAGATCCCAGCGTCTGTGATAGAGGCCAGGTACTGTGTGCTCCTCAACCCTCCTGGGGTTTAGCTGTGGTGATAACAACAGCTGAGCCCAAACCAAAATAACACATCAAGAAAAATGGAGGAAGTGAGACAAGGAGGTTTGGGGAAATTCTTTCCATGTTACCCACTTCCTCAGGTGTCATCTGAATAGAGGCTCTTTGTGCAGAGGGTGGGAAGGCACGAGAAGTCCCCAGTTGTTATCAGAAATAACAGCAAAATTGAAGAAATGAGTGTAACTCACCTGAACCTGATTTGTCTGGGGCTATTCCTGTTGCCATGAGTATTTCTTGTTGCAGTTAACTCTGGAGGTAATGAGTCAGTGCTGCCCAGCTTGGGTGGTGGTGACATTTTGCTGTGTTTCTTTTCTCTCTCAGTATTTTCAGGCGACCATATTACACTTCCTGGTTTCTTCCTGCTTTGCTCAGGCCACGTGTGGTTAGTAATTTGGTTTTGGCTTTTTTTTTTTCTTTTTTTTGATCCTCCCCTTTTGATGTGTGTTTGCAAACAAGTAATTTGTGCCTAACCTGCCTGGTTTTTCTCTTGTAGCTCCCGAAAACGCCGGATGCACGCGTGGCTTTGATAGAATCTTTAAGGAGGTATTGAGACATCCCAGTGCTTGTTTTCTGTGCTTTGGGACTTTCTCTTCAGAATATTTGACTTTACCTCAGGTTTTCAGAGGCTCTGACACCTTGTTTACACACCACTAAGGCAGGGCTTTGTGGCCAGGCTTGTGGCTTGCAGGTTGTGGATGGGCTGGCTTATCTGTACAGCTAAATCTCTTCTGTAATTAGTCCTCTAGCCACTGTGAAACCAGTATCAAGGCAGAACTCTCTGACTGCATGACGAACAGGTAGTTTGGTTTTTTTTTAATGTAAACTTTGGAGGATACTCGAGTATAAAATTTCACAAGGAATGTGACCCACATGTGAAAGGCTCTCCTCTCTTTGGAAGAGGATATGGGAGAAGGGGAAGATGAGACTTAAATGTCTGTTAGTGCTGCCCTTAAGGGACACCAGGATAATGCCCTGGGAGAACACAGCCCCTCTCAGAACTCAGGCTTGTCCTGTATACATGTTTAAAAGAGCTTTTCTGCATTGCAGAAACAGCTTTATTTTAAATCCAGTAATTCCTCTACAACCTGTCATGAAGAAAAAATGTTGGCAGCGCTGCCTGCAAATGGGGCATTTGTTCCTGCCCTGTCATTCCCATCTGGCTTTAAAACAAAGAATGGGTCATTTGGTAAAAATTAAAGTTGTAAGAGAAGCAGCCGTGTTCTAGGGAGCCTCATGGAACATGTTTGTAGGGTTGAGTTGGCTTTTTAGGTGTGTGGACACTGCCTGTCACAACTTACTCTCTTATGTGGTCTTGGACACACACTATACATGAAACAGGTATTGATGCAAGCATTAATAATACAGATAATATTGTTTTTACATACTGTGCTACACATGTAATACTTGCTCTGAAAGCCTTGGATGTAAATTTCTAGCCCTTTGTGTCAGATGATGGTTAAAAAAAATGCTTCAGCTCCTCTCTGTGCTTTGGAGCCTTTAATTACATGTCGTAGTGTAGCTGCTGCTTTGGCTTATATTTAATAAAGCTGAAGTTTGAATGTGGTTATGCTGGATAATAAATGTCTGTCTTCTGTTTGTTGTTACAGAGCTGATAAAATACCCTCAAACTTGTACTCCACATACACGCAAGCCTGTCAGGCTATGAAAGAGAAGAGGTTACAAGGTAAAAATTACAACACTGATTTATGGATCAGTTTGAAGAAAAGTTGATTTTTCTATAGCTGTCACCCTGAATGGAAAATTTTCCCCAAGTTTTGGCTGATGAGGTCTTTAATCTACACATGCAGGCTCTTTGTGATGCTGAGGTGTTGCAGAGCTGCTCTCTGTGCCTTGCTCCTGCTGGGGCAGGGTTTCTGCAGCTGGTGGGCCTGAGCTGGTCCAGTTAAACCACCTCGAATGCTGCTCAGCCCAGGCTGGGAGCCTGCTGTCCCCTGTGGAATGGTGCTGGTGCTCTCTGAACTCACCATCCTCCTCCTCCTTTAAGGGTGAGACCTGGGGATGGAGCCAGCTGAGAAGGGGCTGCACCTCTGTTTGGGTGGGAAGGCCCCATTCATCTCAGGTCCCACCACTGCAGCCACACCACTCGTGTGTTGGTGTAATAGGTATTTAACAAGCTCATCTCAGCACGTGGGTGTTTCAAACACCCCTTAAAATGGGCAGCATCCTCACCACAGGTTTATAGGGAATGAAAACCTCGGGCTAGGGAGCAGAGAGCACTCCTGGAGGTGGGTGTCAGAGGGATCTGCCTGACTCCTGCTCTGGGCATGGGGCTGGGAGCTGGGACAAAGCGTTCCCGGGCAGCGCAGATGTGCAGAGCCTGGCTGCCCAGGTTGTCCTGGCAACGGCAGGGACTGGGGATCCCTGGGGCCTGCCGGGGTGGGCAGGGTCCTATTGGGCAGCCCTGGCTCTGCAGGAGCCTTCGAATTGCCACTGACCTCTAGTGGCATGGCCTGAGCTGTGTCCCTGATCAGCCTGTGCTGTGTCCACTGCCAGCTCCTGCCTCCTGATCCCATCCCCTGCCACCCTCTGCCTCCCAATCCCATCCTCTGCATCCTGATGGAGCTGAGCTGTGTCCCAAAACCATCCCCTGCATCCTAATCCTGTCCCCTGCATTATGATTGGGCTGATTTGTGTCCCCTGTCATCCCTTGCGTCCTGATCCCATCCCCTGCATCCTGATCAGCCAGATCTTCATGATCTGTGTCCCCTGCCCCCTGTTCTGTGTCCACTGCATCCTGATCCATGCTGGGGTTCTTGCCCAGGGGCTGGATTTTGGGCAGAACTGGCTGTTGTCAGCCTGTCCCATTGTTAGTGCTCACTATTGCAGGTTGAGGTGACTCCGTGGTCTCCTAAGACCTCGTTGCTTCACAGTGTGTTTATAACAAGTATCAATTTTAATGATGAATTTATTTACCTCTCCTGTTCCTAGCTGAGTTCCTTGTGGCCCGTGTAGGAGCTGCAGTTGTGCCAGCTGGGTGGGTGGTGTTCAGGGCATGCTGTGGCAGCTTGGCACTGGTGCCACTCTCCTTGTAGTGGCAACGGGAATTTCCTTTCAGTTCTTCTTTCAGACAAAAACCAGAACAGGGTGACACGTAACATCTGGAGATGTTGCATGGTGTTGGGCTTGAGAAGCTGATGATGTAGTATTCGTGTCTGCCTCTGTTTTGAGACTGCTCCAGTCTTCTGAGGACAGCTGGCAGCTGAAGCAAGTGTAGGAAGGCAGCTGAGGGAGGAGAACTCATTTGCCTCTAGTCTGTAAAAACTGATTTTCTTTCTACAGCTAAGCATAAACTCATAAATGATTAATCAAACAGCACGTTTTGAATGTAAGCCCAAAGCTGTACCTGTGGCAGATTTGATGGTTTGGGATGTGCTGTAGCTTATAGGAAAGGAAATCCTGCTTTTACAGAAAACACGTGCAGAGGCTGCTGGGCACGTGTGCTGAACTGATGTCACACCCAGGGCTGAGGCTGTTTCTCTCTTTCTTGTCCAGATGACTCAAAAGCAGAGACCAGCCATTCCAAAGAGCCTGTTGAGCAGCTGGAGGCTGAGCTGGCTGAGCTGAGGACGCTGGTTGTGGACCAGGCTAAATTTGAAGGTATGCAGGGAGACAAGTTGTAGCAGCCCTGAACTGTCACCAAAGCCACATTAATAAAACGTGGCTAATGCTAGCCACAGTAGCAGCAGTAGTCACTTGCCACTGGTTCCTGAAGGTGGTAATCTTTCAGATCTGTATAATCCTTCCAGCTATGAATATAGATATAAATATATAGTTGAGTTTTTTTTAATGACTGACATCTTTCCCACCTTTGGGATGCTCACTGGGTACCACAGTGATCTTTGCCAGAGGGGCAGCCCCATTCCTGGTGCTCACCTGGTAACCTGAGTCCCCTTTTGAACCTGTTTCCTTTCTAGTATGAGAAACTACTGCTGTGTGTTGGTAATAGCACTGGGGAAAACATGCTGTCTTCCAGGTGATGATCACTGTGTTCCAGCCAACATATTTTGCTCATTAAACCTTTTCATAACCTACTTTGGGCTCTGATCAATTAGAATATCTACTTCATTTGTTGTTCTTCCTGCCTTGTGGTGCTGTATCTTTTCCATGCCTTCTGTCCTGGTCCTCTTCTCCTGTTACCTTCCCACAGATGTGCCAGCACAGATTGCAGTGATTTCTGACAGGCTTGCCAGCATCTTGGGCCACAGCAGTGATGAGAATGAAGCTGCTACTTTGAATTCTCCAATCCAGGTCGACATTTCTGCCCCCAGGCTGGAGCCCAGCCATCAGCCTGTGAGTACCATCTGGCTGGAGTGAGAAACAGTGGGGCTGGGGGGGGTAAAACTGCATCTGGACCAGTGCTGTGAAAAGCTGCTTTGTCTGTGGAGAACAGGAAACACATTCTCCTTCTGTCTGCCTTGTCCTGCCCTGCACAGACTGCTCATGTCCTTCACCCTCCTGGAAGCTGTGTGGTGACTGGTGCTGAGATCTAGAGATCTGTTCTACCAGAGTGGTCCTGTGATGGGCTGGACTTTCCTCACTTATTTGTAGTGTGCTGGGGTCATTCACAGGGTGGCAGGGGCTTAACTTCCCATCTCTCCTCAGTGCCAATGGATCTGTACAACTGCTGAATGTCACTAACTGATTTGCCTCCTTGTTTTAATGTCAGAAGACTATATATGCAGCAGGAAACTAGATCTAGATAAGTGGGAATTAAGCGTGTGTCTTTTTTTCCAGGTTGTTGATCTTCTCCTGACATCATTCTGCCAAAACCTAATAGCTGCTTCCCATTTTAACCCTCCTGACAGGTAAGATGTGAGTAAAAGAGGAGAGAAATCAGACGTGGTTAACACACTGGAGTTCCAACACTTGTCCAGGGCTGAGGAGGGACTCTGGGTTGTCCATACCCTCTGTGCCAGGCTGCTTTGTTCTGAGTTCCTGTAAGAACTGATGCTCTTTGATGTGTACATGTAAATAAAACATGTTTCTCCTCTGTCACACTGAAGCTTCAGAAGCAGGTGGCACTTGCCACAGAGCACAAAGAAGGGTGAACCTAGAAAAACTTTACAAACTCTGTTTACTGAGTGCTGGGGGATGGGGAATGAGCCAAGCTCCTTTTATCCAGGAACTACGTGCTGGATGGCAGCAGAGATCAGGGAGCAGAATGCTGAGCACTGCTGTGTCTTCAGCATCTCTTTTTGGCACAGCCTCTCTGCCTCCTCTCCACTCTTCCCTCTCAACAGTTTGGCTCTGGCTTGTGTGAGGGGAGACAGGTATCACTCCTCTGCCCCTGGAGGTGGCCTCTTAATGGCCAGCTCCTTCATGAGGTAGCAGAAGTCTGTAAACTTCACAGTCAGCCTTACAGTGGAAAATGGCCTTGCTGGAAGACAAGCTGCCTGTGATGGAGACGCAGGCAGGGCTGGATTAGGTGCCTGCCTCTCTGGAGTGCAGGTGCTTTGGCAGCCAGGGCACCCCTCACTCTGTTTGACACCATTTTGCCCTGGAGCAGAGGAATCTGTACTGAATCTGTGCTGGAAAGCAGCTGTGGTAAACAAGAGCATCCCAGGACACTGTTTCTAAACCTCTCTCCCCACCCAGCCTCTGAGGATGTGTTTTAATGGTCAGCTGGGTGGGGAAGTCCCTCTCTCCCTCTTGTTCTGCAACAGGACCTCATCATAGTAATTCATTTTCATTCTTGCTTTGTGTTTTGATCCCGTTTATTGCTCTGGCCCTGTTTACCTTGTGCTCTCTGTCTGAAAGAAGCTGACCATGCCCCAGGCAGCTTGCTGCTCTCCTTGTTGTCATCTCTGGACACCTCTTTGTATATTGTCAAGTATTTGAGGCAGGGCACTGGTGAGTTCATCCCTTTGTGGGTGTCCTCTGCTCAGGTACTCCAGAAGTGACTGGCTTTGAGCCTGGAATGTCAATGGTCCTGTGTTTACAGAGCAGTGTGGCTCAGGTCCAGTGTGTTTAAGCATTTTTAAATACCTCTTCCTGTACCAGGGATAAAAAGCAGCAGTAAAATGAGCATGTGGTTTTTCCCTCCTGCAGGCAGGGGCCATGTCTCTCCTTGTTTGTGAAGATGATGTGTGGACACAGGAATCTCTTACCTGTGCTTCTGGGCAGGCTCTGCCAGCTCATTTATCACCAGGTGAGTTTTCCAGCCACAAATCACATGGCAGAGTGCTAAAGGCTATCCCACTTCCATTTCCTGAGCTGTGGGGCACTACCTGTCTGGACTGCACTACAGAGGGACTTCACCTCCTCTCCAGCTTCCAAAAAAACCCCAAACACAACAAAACTAATGCCTTATTTTGGACCAAGAGTGTGGGCTTGCTCTCAGGAGCCTGAGTTGAACATTTCCCTGCAGAAACAGGGCTGTAGAAGGTTCATGCACTCTGAGATACATTTTAAAGAAGCTAAATTAAGCAAATTTATGAACAGAGCCAAAGAAAAGAGTAGAGTGCTTAATTCCTAAGCTTCCACATTGAATATTTCAGTTGTACACCCCTTCAACAAATAAAAATAATACTGAGTCTGGGGTGCAGCAGTGCATGGTTTTCTTTTAGAGAACTGCTGGTTTTATTTCCTTTACCTCATGATGTTGTAAAGGTGACATTAGAAGGCTGATAGACTAGATTAGCTGTCACAGAAGCTAAAAAAGCCTGGAGAGTCTCAAAATCTACTGTCTGAATTTACAGCTAGTTGATCAGAGTTGTTGTTTTAGGGAGATGTACAGATTTTGCTGCAGGTTGACCAAAGATAGCTGCACAATTTCAAGGAAGGAAGAAGGTGTTTAATGTAACTGGTGCCTCTCCTCTGGTCAGTTGATATTGCTGCATTGAATTAGGCAATGAGTAAAAGCAGTGTTTTGCTCCTCAGTAATTCTGAGTTGTTGTTTTTTTTCTGAGAAATGTTGTTTTGTCTCTCTCCTGTTGTTATGTTTGGCTTGCAGGGTCCTTCCCTGAATGATGCTCACATCTTAGGACTCGCAGCTTTTGTGATCCACTTAAGTGAGTGCAGAGCTTTAATCCCTGCAGTGGAAGCCAGTTTGGGGATTTCTCAGCCCATTTCTGAACGGGCCCTTTCCATTTCTGAGTACTGGACCCAGCTGCTGGTGTGCAGGACAGAGGAGTCCTTTGCCTTCTGCATGAGGTGAGACCGTGGCTCCACCGTGTCCTCACTGCCCTGGGTTTTGGTTTGCCACCAGAGGGGTGCTGGGCAAGCTCCCATGGCCCTGCAGAGGATTTCCAGGGCACTGTAGGGGTTTGTGCTGCTCAGAACCAGGTGGGTGGTGCTGGTCCTGCCTGGAAGAGCATCCTGGTGATTGTCCTGTCTGCTGGAGGAAGGGCTGGTGGGATGCTGTCTGAGCTTTCCATTCAGTCTCTGGCTCTGAAATTTGTGCCACTGATGTGAGTGGGGTTGGGAGTTGTCCCAAAAGCAAAATAGGTCTGGGACATGTTGGCTAAAAGCATTTTTAATACTCAGTCTTTGTTCTTAGGAGTTGTGTCAGTGGGAAGGGATCTGATGGAACCAGCCAGGTAACAGTTTGTTTTCTCTGTCAGGTTTTGCACGGCGGCAGCATCTTATCTGATGTGCAAGTTCTCATCCTCTTCCCATGAAGATCTGTGTGCCTTGCTTCCTCCTGGCCTTGCTAAAAAGGTAAAAGGGAAAACATTGTGTTACTGCTTAAGAGAAACTTAAGAGAAAGATCAGTTTTCCCCTGTGCAACTGTAACTTGTACTGAGACAACTATATAAAAATGTCTCTTTTTACCCTCACGTTTTAGTGTTCTGTTTGGCAGTTTCACACAACCAGAGACTGCACTGGGGCATTTTTTTGTGGTGGAAATGTGCTGGGTTATATCCCTTTGCTTTAGCTGCAGTACCTCGTGCCACGGCTGTGCCTGGAAGCTCGAGGGATCCTGTGTAAGGAGACTGAAAATGACCCAATCTGGAGTTCCCTGCCCTGCCCCTCCCTGAACTTCAAAAGAGCCAGCATCTGTTTATGGAAACAAGCACGCTTCCAAGAGCTCTTGAGGGAAAAAGCATTCCAGGTATAAATCCTTTCCACGAGTTACATTCACACTGTAATTCTCATTTTTCAGATCTGCCCTTTGCAGTTTCCTTATGGTTGATAAAAAGCTGCTTGTAAAAACTTAATGCCCAAGAAGTCTCTGTGTGCTGAAGATTCTGTGTGCACTAGGTTGTGTGCTCAGGGTGATTTGCAGGTGGTGATGGTGATGGTAAGGTAGAAATAGAGAACTAGATGTAAAGCTTTTATGCCCTGCTTATTTTAAAAGCAGGAAGCTTTACTGGTGAATCAGTAGGAAAATGATCAGGAGCTGTGGAGCAGATTTCTGTCCCTCTTTGATGCTTACACCAGTCTGTCTGATCGTGGAGCTTTGTTCACTTCAACATTTATTTCTCAGAACAGACGTTCACTCTGCTATCTAGCCTTTCAGATGAGCATGTTTGGAAATGACAAAGGGGTGGGTGGGTGTGAGAGAGCTTCATAGGCTTGCTTTTAGAAAGTTTTGAATGCCAATGGGGTTTTAGCTGAGAATTCTTGCAAGGGAAACAGGAACTTCTGGGGGTTGATGTCTGCTGTTTCATCTCTTAATCTGCACAGGATTGTGTCTGGGAGTGGGGGAAGGAGGGTTTTATGTTGGGCAGAAGGTGGCTGCCCTGCACAAGTTATGTGCTGGTCCAACCTCTTACCTAGATGATGCTTTTCCCAGTTGTCATTCAGGGAGTGGCTGCTTTTGGAGCTGGAAGTGTACCCTGAAAAGGATGTTCTCTCTGCTCCTGAGAGGTAAGTGCAGAGGGGCTCTCTTGGGAAGGGAATAGCTCAAGAGTCTTTCCCACCCAGACTGGAAGAAAGCAGTGAAGATCAGGAAGTAAATAAAGCAGCTGCTGCAGGACACAAATGCCCGTTGACTGCTGCACTTTGTTCAGAGTTCAAACAATGCTGGAATGAGGTGTGTGTTTTAACTGCAGGAAGTTCACTGAGATAACCTCTGCCCTGCATGTGCAGTCCTTCCTAAAACCTCCAGACACAACCTCCCTGTTTCCAGAAGCAAGCTGACACCAGGCATCTGGTGAATGTGTCTGTACTTATATGGGTGATTTTACCTGTCATTCATAGAATCCCAGACTGGTTTGGGTGGGAAGGGACCTTTCAAGGTCATCCAGTCCAACTCCCCTGCAGGGAGCAGGGACATCTGCAGCTAGAGCAGGTTGCTCAGAGCCCCGGCCAACCTCACCTGGGATGGTTCCAGGGATGGGGCAGCGACCACCTCTCTGGGCAGCCTGGGCCAGGGGCTCACCACCCTCAGCAGCAAACATTTCTTCCTTCTCTCTAGTCCAATTCTCCCTCTTTGAGTTTCAAACCATCCCCCCTTGTCCTGTCACAACAGGCCCTGCTAAAATTCCACTTGGTGTGTGAACTTGCTGTTACATCAAGGGAAGGGCAGCATTAAAATGTGGTGATAGATTTCCTATCTTCTCCTTTTCAATGTTGCAGACAGGACTTCCATTATTGGGCCATCTATCAATGGTATCTTCCTGCACCTTCTGCTTCTGGTGGCTGTGATGGAGACCTGGAGAAGGCCTGTGGCATTATCATTAATGCCATCCTGGATTTCTCACAAAGGTATTCACAGAATCCCAGCATGGTGGGGCTGGAAGGGACCTCTGGGGATCATCTCATCCCACCCCCCTGCTCCAGCAGCTCACCCACAGCAGGGTGCCCAGGGTCACATCCAGGCAGGTTTGGGATCTCTCCAGAGCAGGAGACTCCACAGCCTCTCTGGGCAGCTGCTCCAGGCTCGGCCACCCTCACAGCAGAGAATTTGCTCCTCCTGCTCAGGTGGAACCTCCTGGGTTCCCGTTGGTGCCCGTTGCCCCTTGTCCTGTCTTGGGCACCACTGACAAGAGTCTGGCCCCAGCCTCTTGAGCCCTGTGGGCCCTTTAGCTCTTGCTCAGCACTGATCAGATCCCCTCTGAGGCTTCTCTTCTCCAGCTGAACAGCCCCAGGGCTCTCAGCCTGTCCTGGCACAGAGATGCTCCAGCCCCTCAGCATCTCCACAGCCTCCTCTGGACTCTGTCCAGTAGTTCCTTGTCTCTCTTGGACTGAGGAGCCCAGAACTGGACCCAGGACTCCAGTAGTCCCCAGTGTCCTGGATGATGAGCTCACTCTGCAGGAGCCATGGCTGTGCAGTGCCCAGGAGCTGTGAGCTCGAGCCCTGCACGGCTCTGGGGTGATTCCTGCTCCCGGGGCTGGCGGGCAGGGGAAGCTGGAGCTGCCTCTGTGTGACTCACCCCCCTCTGCACAGGACTTGCTTTAGGTGAAGAGGTCTGGGGTGGCAGTCACAACCAATCCCTACTCTGTCTGTCCTTTTGAAGTTGAATTTTTTATATTCAGATTTGTTTAGCCAGACAGTGTCCCTGAGGAAGTGGCTGAAGCTGGAAAATGAGGAGGGAGAGTTAGAGGAGAGTTGCTGCCTCACCTACAGCTTATTTAAAGAACATTAATGTTGGAACTTTGTTCACCTGAAGCCATTTGACTTTATTTGAACTTTGTTCTCCTCCTGGGCTAACAGAGCTGGTTACCTGCTGTGTAAACTTCATTTCAGGTTGGACCTGGGTAGCTGTGGCCAGTCGAAGATGTCTGTCAACCCTGATATTCTCTGCAGGCTGCAGGTGATTTCAGACTCTGATGTGTATCCGTGTGTTCACTCTGGTTCTGACCAGTCAAAATATTTCCTGGGGATATCCAGGGCTGATGTTTGGCTCTCAGGTGGGAGTGGTGGCATAGAAATGGAGAGAGAGAGATAAGGAAAATCTCTTCTTATTGATCTCTTTGTATAACTTCAGTAAAACACAAAGGGTTTGAAGGCAAGCCAGCAGGTAGCCCTGACAAACATGGTTTTCCCCCTTCCTCCCCCTTCAGGAGATGGTGCTGGAGCTGGGGAGTAGGAGGAGGTTCCTTTCTGGCTGCTGGGGTGCCCAGAGACACTTCCTGTTTGAGATTCTCCAGGAAAGGCTGAGAGACAGAAAACCTGGCTCTGCTCTGGGCGAGCAGCTGTGGAGGCAGCAGGAGCTGCTGCTGCACAGAAGGTAAATGTGGCTCTGGATGGCCCCAAGCACCCAAACCAACCTGCTGTTGGGTACAGCCTGTCCCTGCACAGTGGGGCAGCCTCCCCTTGCACTCCACAGCCACTGAGAGTCACTCTGGGTCACGGTGACAAGTGCACAAGAGATTTATTTGCTGGTTCCCCCATGAATTAGGTGCATTTCAGTGTGCCATGTCCAGCTACAAGGTGTGCCCCTGCCAGCAGACTGGGCTTCAAAGCCCACACATCTTCCTGGGCTCTGTTCACAGCCAGCAACACTCTTTAATGTTGTGTTGACTGTTGTTAAATTACTGTATTTGTTACTGGTGTGTTTCCATTTTTGAGCAACTGCTGTTGTCTTTGAAAGAGGGTGGATCTCACCAAAATACAGGGTCTGGTTCTTCTCTGGGCAGCTGGGAAGATTCCTTGGGTGGTTGGTGTTAACATGTTTGAGACAGTATGTAAAACATGAGCTCTCAGACTCCCCTGAGTATCAAAGGCATGTGTCCTAAGAGCATGGACTCGAGTTCTCTCCTTGCTGGTAACCTCAGTGCTGGTTTTATCCTTCCCCCCTGCAGGGTTCTGGTGGGGCTCCCTGCGTCCACTCTGGTCACGACAGGTCACAAAGGAAAGAAAACTGTGTTGGACTGTGAAGACTTCTTTCACTTTGTGAACTCTGAGCTGGTAGGTGCCATTACCCACACGGTGGTTTCCTGTTGGTAAATGCTCTAAAGACCTTAAACTTGGGTTTAGGACAGGAGTTAAAGTGCAGCCAAACATGAAGCCAACTGAGCTCATGTCATGCGTGGAGAGGTTCAAGTCATGCTTGAGACTTTCCAGCCCCTGGCTCTGTAGAGTTCCCCTCAGCACTGTCTGCTGTAGGGTGACTTTTAGGGTCATTTATTTGGAACTTGGTGGCATTTTATGCTATGGAGAGTGGATCCTTGGGAAATGGGGTAGGGAAGGCTGAGGTGGAGCCAGCTGGCATGGCAGTGGCTGGAGCTGGGTGTGCCTGGACAGTCCTGGCTGGGGTGAAGTCAACAGTGGGTGACAGCAGAGAGGCCTGGCAGTGCCAGAGCTGGGGCAGCTGGGCTGTCTGATCTGAGCTCTGGTGCTGGGACTGCAGAGCACCAGCCTGGCTGGTGGTGCTGATTTATACTGAATCCAGGCCTCTGTGATCTGAGCTGGAGCTCAGGATCAGTCAGGGTGGTTTTGTGCTAGCCTGTTGTGCCAGCCACCCACAATGTTCAGAGAAAAGCCCAGTTCAGAAGGGAAGGAATGATTTTTTTCCTCCTTGTCTCCCCACAGAAGCATGTCTGTTCCAGAGGGTATGCACTCCCCTACGACCTCACCGCTCACTTCCTCAGGGTAAGGGCTGCCCCTGTCCCCCCCCTCCACACCCCCAGCCCAGGGGACCCCTCCCTACCAGCTGTTCCTAGCACTGAGATGTGCTCCTCGTCCCCTCCTTCTGAGAACTGGTGCTGTAAATTCCAGGAAGAGCAGCAATAATCCAGGAACATGAAGAGCAGAAACAGGGGGAAGTAGTGCCAGAGGTGAAATTTAACACAACCCAGCAAAGCTGGAGGGGCAGGAGCAGCTGTGGGGTTTCTTTTGCTGGGCCATGCTGACCCCTACAGTCATCTTCCATTAGTTTACGTGTGGCTTGCTGAGGTACTTCAAAGCAGCACAGACACACTTGTGTAGTCATCTTGTAACCCTTCCTCTTCCAGGGCCTGCTCCATGCCAGCTTGGACTGTGAGGAACCAGCAGAGGGGGTCAACAACGTTCTGAGAGCTTGCCAAGCCAGATGCCCCATCATGCTCCTCTCCACAGCGGTATCTGCTCCTAGTGACCTGCAGAGTGACCATTCAGGATGGGTTCAGAGCATTGGTCTTAAACTCCATCTCCTGCAACCTCTGAAGTGCAGGAGTTAGAGTTCCTGGCACCTCTGGGAAAGGGCAGTGTGGGTTTGGAGCCCTGGTGTGGCTGATCCCAGCTCTGGAGTGTCACTGCAGCAGTGGGACAGAGGCTGGTTAGAGAGACAACCTGGGAGACTTGTCTTGGTTTCAGATGGACTACAGGAGGGGCTGGTTTTATCATGCCAAGCAACCAAAAAGTCCATAAATCACAGATTTATTTTTTTTTTTTTTTCCCCCTCTCATGGACATAACTCTTCATGTGGTGTTTTACATGGGGAGATGTGGATTTATTGCATGTGCATCACCTTTGGGGAACAGCTCTTAGAGTGAATCATGGAATGTTTGGGTTGGAAGGGACCTCCAAAGGTCATCAAGTACAGCCCCCCTGCTATAAGCAGGGCCAATCATTAAGTTTGGAAAAGACCTCTAAGATCATCAAGTCCAGTCATCAACCCAACACTCCCATGACCACTAAACCACATCCCCAGGTGCCACACCTACATGTTTTTTGAAGCCTTCCAGGGATGGGGACTCCAGCACCATTCTTTTATCCTAAGTGGTCCTGATAGAGGTGTTTCAGGGCACTGTGGTAGGAACATGGCCACAAATGCCCCCTTTGCATTTCCAGGATGTGAAACTTCTCATGCTTATCATTTGTCTGTACAACTTGGACTTTTTCATTGGGGTGTGGGGGGGAAAACCCTTTCTCTGCCTAGCTGGCTGAGATCAGGTGCATACCTGCCTTCAGACAGCTACTGGGCACACCACCACTAATGCTGCTGGTTTCCATCTTTCTTCCTAGCTTTGGTGGCCGAGGCTGGAGCCAGTGCTTTGCTCACAGTGGAAGAGACTCTTTGAGGCTCCACTTGCAGAAGAACTGGAAGGGCTGAGGGGACAGCACTCTGCAGCTACCCGGTGTGTATGAGGAACCCAGCCAGGACCTGCAGGCAGGAGAAGGGGCTCTCAGGGGGACCTGGAGGGCTGGTCTGAGCCAGGCCAGGGCTCAGCAGGCAGTTACAGATGCAAATGTGGGCTGGGGCTTGTAGGACAGCTCTACACAGATTCCTTTGTTGAGTTTAAGCTCAAAATGGGTCATTATAATTATTTAGTCTGGTATAATGTGTGTCAAAGTGTTTCACCCTAAGGAAAAGAGAATCTTTGGAGGAGACAGGGAGGCAGAGCACTCCTTAGGCAAACACTGGAAATAGCCTACAGCACAGTGTTGAGTCATCCACTGAAGCTGCTGCTGCCTTTGCTCCCTGGATGAGGTGAGCCCTGGGCTCCTGAAGCTGCTGCTCTTTGCTTCCCCCTTTACCTGCCCTTAGCTGCCTGGTCAGTGTCCTGCAGCTGTGCTCCCAAACCTGAGGATCTAGTGTAGGAATCTCCTTGCAGGTAATAATCACATGTGTCTGTAGCAGGCCAGGCAGTTAACTACCTGCCCAACCTCTGATAAAAGAGATTTGGGGATGCTGCTGTCTGCTCCTAGACTAGACTCTTTTTTTGACTGTCTCTATGTGGCATCAAACTGCAGGGAAATAAAAACAACCTGGAGAGAAGAATTTCTATTTTTGGTCTTTTTGCCCAAGCCCTTGATTTCCTCGTTTACAGCTATGATTACATTTTTTTCCCCTTTTTCCTCTCTTCTTTTCTTCTTCTTCCTCTCTTCTTTTCTTCTTCTTCCTCTCTTCTTTTCTTCTTCTTCCTCTCTTCTTTTCTTCTTCTTCCTCTCTTCTTTTTCTCTTATCCCCTCCAAGCCCATGACATGTTTTTTTTCCCTAGCTTCCTTTCCTCAGGAGAGGATTTCCCTCCCTCTGGCCCTGCCTGGATTTCAGCTGCCTTCCTCCACTGTGCTGTTGGGCAGCGGCCGCTGCAGGGACAAGAGAGGAAGGCCCTGGAGAGGCTGGGGACTGACACAGAGCAGGCAAGACTGGGAGGGTTTTGGATGTCTGCTCTTCCCTGTGATTGGAAACTGGAAGCAGGATGTGTTAACAGGGAGATGGTTGTCCTGAGACACTGCTGGCAACCCCGTTGTGAAATCTTGCTGGTGGCTAGTTGATAAAACGTGGCTGGAAATTACCAGCTGCTAAATACTTATCCTAGAGGCAAAGCTGTTCCAAAGTTAAACTTTTAGCTTGGGTACTGGCTTCTCTGAAGTCAAGGAGAACTGTTGAACCAGCTGCTCTAATAACTGAAGCTGGGGAGAGCACTGCAGAGATGGAGATCATGATCCATGGCATTCTGGGACACTCTCCCTCTGACAAAGGAGCAGTCCTTCGGTGTGGGTTTAGCTCTGGCAGCCTGGCTGGAAGGTTAGGGAGATGCAGAAAGGTTCTGCAGGCATTTTAAGGGCCATGGGAAGATGTGCTGGGAATCCCAGGGCCAGACTTCCTGAGGGTTTTCCCACGGCTGTCCCAGGAAATGCCTGCCACTTTTCCATGCTCAGTGCCTGCTGCACAGGGGAATTCTCCTGAGGCAGGATCCTGGCTGCTGCCTGCTCTGTGGGTCTCCCAGGATAGCTGGGACCAGAGCTCTGTATGGGAGCATCCAGGGTGGGATATGCACAGGGAAATCACACAGAAGTAGAGTTCTGTAATAGCAGTTACAGTAGCAGTTCCTCTTGCCATGGGATGGGCTCCTCCACTGTTTGTTTATACTGGTCTAGAGCCAACAGCTGCTAGTCAGAAACTGGTGTCACTGAGTTGATAGGAACATTTAGTACGTGGAGGAACAGCAGCTTTCACCTCAACAGTCTGCCTTGAGGTAGGAGGATGCCAGGAAGAGTGGGAACAGTGGAGGGCTGAGTAACTGGGGTGCCAGCAGGTCCTGGTGGCTGCCTGATGTTCAGGCCTCAGCTCAGAGCCTCAGCTACCACTCCAGTATCAGTGGATACAGGTGGGATTGCACAGATGTGTGTGGTGGGACTGGTGTGAGGTCTGGTGCTGAATCCCTTCACGTGACAGACAGCGTTCAAGGGCAGATCTCTCCCTGTCAGAAGAGCAAGGGGGATTAGCCACCTTTGGGGATGAGATGCTGGAGTTAAATCCAAGGAACTCAGTTGTTCCACTCCTTTTGGTTTGGCTCATCCCCCTGGGGCCATCGGTGCCTCTGGAAGGCTGATGGGAGAGGTCCCTGCCGTGTTCCCTGGCTGCTGTGCCCGTGTGAACAGAGCTGCCGTGCACAGAACCTGCTGGCTCTGCCCGCTGCTTTCCCAGAGGTGGGAGAGGAGAGGAGGGTTGGCTCTGCAGCTGGGCTAGCAGCACAAATAAGTTGCTTCAACCTCCCAGGGTCCCAAGGCCACTGCAGGCTTTGAGTGGTGTGGTAGGGATCCAGGAAAGCCACAACCTGCGTGTGTCAGGGCAGGATTCTGATGCTGGGACTGGAGGCTGTGCACCATCTGCTGGTGACAACATCAGCCCTGCTCCAGGTTCACACCTGTGGTAGCTCACTCTGTTTTCCCTGTATTTAGGAGAAGCCCTCTGCTGTCTGAGTAGGGAAGGGGTTGTGCCCCTGGACTGGGCACTGGGGAGGCCACAGCTCGAGCACTGGGGTCAGTTGTGGGCACCACAGGATAAGAAAGACCTTGAGGGGCTGGAGTGGGTCCAGAGAAGGGCAATGAAGCTGGGGAGGGCTCTGGGGAACATGGCTTGTGAGGAGCAGCTGAGGGACCTGGGGGTGCTGAGCCTGGAGCACGAGTTCTGTGTCCCCACAACAGCTGGGACTAACCACAATCTCTTTTCCTTTCAGCTTCTTGTTTCTCTGCTATTCTTCTCACTCATGGATCTCATCTCAGCAAAAATAGCACCAAAGGTAAGTTCAGCCCTGAGGGAATCCTCATGACACTAAATGTCTCTGATCTGCTCAGTTTGCTCCCTAAAAATGCTTTGTACCAGTCCTGTGAAGACTGTGGCTTGTTCTGCCAGAAGGGAGGGATGAGCACAGCCCAGACACAGCCTGCTGAAGGCTTTTCTGTTCCTGTCAGATGAAACCCTACTTTCCTCTGATGTTATCTCCCCTTTCTCTACAGCAGCTTTTGTTTCTCTTCCTGAATGACTTGCTATTTTCAGTTCCTCCTTCAGACTTTGCAGCTCCCAGGTAGAGGAGGAACCTCCTCTCTTTCAGCTTTTGTGCAGCGTTGCACATTCATTAGATGACATTTTTCCTCAGGCTGGAATCATATGTGGGACACCTTCCTGTGGCACTTCAGTACTTCCAGGGGGCTACAAGAAAGATGGGGACAATCTTTTAGCAGGGCCTGTTGGGACAGGACAAGGAGGGATGAGTTTAAACTAACAGAGGGAGATCTAGGCTAGAGAGGGGGAAGAAGTGTTTGACACTGAGGGTGATGAGCCCCTGGCCCAGGCTGTCCAGAGAGGTGGTCGCTGCCCCATCCCTGGAACCATTCCAGGTGAGGTTGGATGATGCTCTGAGCAACCTGCTCTAGCTGGGGGGTTGGACTAGATATCCTTGAAAAGTCCCTTCCCACCCAAACCAGTCTGTGGTTCTGTGATTTCACAGGAGAAGGGATCCCCAGCAAGGAGGAACATTAGTTTCCAAATGATTTAATGCTGTTAAGTGAAGGAGCAAAGATGAGAAGCTCATTCCAGCACCTCTCTGCCCTGAACATCCTCCTGCCTGTGAATGCTCGTTTCTGTCCTTTGCTGTTTCCTCAGCTTTGAAGTGCAGCCTTTTGTGTTGTCACATCTCAGACTGGACCAGGGAGCAGATTCAGGTCAACAATGATCATTTGATCTCATAGTCTGCTGCTGGGAGAGTCGGGAGGAAGAGACACCTTGAGCAAACAGCTTGAGGAGGTTGTTCCAAGTCACATGAATAATGTGGAAACCCCCCCCCCAAAATACCCCACGATGTGCTATCCCCACATGGGTTTAATGTGAAACCCCCCCCAAAAAATCCCAAGATGTGCTATCCCTCGCTGGGTTTGAGGGGGAGGCCTGCTCCAGGGGTGGGTGGTGGCTCTGTGCTGAGCTCTGCTGGGAAGCACTGGGGATGAGCTGGTTCCTTACTGGTGCTTCATCCCCCTCGCTCACAGATGGGTTTCCACCGAGCCCTGGGTGTTCTGGGAGGAGGGCACCACCCGAGTCTGGAGCCTGACTGCCAGGGGAATCCAGGCTGCCTGGTGAGGGGAAAGGCTCCAACTAAACTCACAAAGGTCCTTTATTAGAGCACTTGTGCACACAGTCTCTCCTGAGGGCTCCGAAGCTGCTGAGGGGCTGGAGCGTCTCTGTGCCCAGGCCAGGCTGAGAGCCCTGGGGCTGTTCAGCTGGAGAAGAGAAGCCTCAGAGGGGATCTGATCAGTGCTGAGCAAGAGCTAAAGGGCCCCCGGGGGCAAGAGGCTGGGGCCAGACTCTTGTCAGTGGTGCCCAGAGACAGGACAAGGGGCAATGGGCACCAACTGGAACCCAGGAGGTTCCCCACCTGATGAGGAGGAAGGAATTCTTTGCTGTGAGGGTACTGAAGCCTGGAGCAGGCTGCCCAGAGAGGTTGTGGAGCCTCCTTCTCTGGAGAGATCCCAAACCTGCCTGGATGTGACCCTGGGCACCCTGCTGTGGGTGAGCTGCTGGAGCAGGGGGTTGGATGAGATGATCCCCAGAGGTCCCTTCCAGCCCCACCATGCTGGGAGTCTGTGCTGAGTGGCTCCTCCTTGCTGCTTTGGTGCACCTAAAGCCTGAGACGAAGGAGACCTGTCCTTTCTGACACACAGGAGGGAGTGGATTTTCAGACAGCTCTGGAATGGTCCCTGGAGATCCTGGAGTGCCTGGAGAAGAGAGGTGCATCCTGGCCACTACTCTTCTGTCCTGCAGAGAGAGGTGAGCAAGCCTTGCCCCCAGGCTGGAGAGGTGAAGTTCAGTGCCGGGTGAGTGTACCTGCAAGAGCTGGAACTGATGTGCCTGTGTAAGCAGCAGGAAAACCAGCTGCTGGGGTAAAAGCTGAGGGCATCCTGCTCCTGCCCTGCAGTGTGGAGACCCAGCAGATGTTAAGGAACAACTGGTGCTTCTACTCGGAGCCTCAGAGGGGACAGCTCGTTTCTCTTGGTGGTCACCACCTCTGAGAACTTGTGTTTACTGTGGGCTGGAAGGGAATTGTGCAGCCCCAGTGCTGCTGTAGAAGTCTGCAGGGCAGTGTGAGGACCACTGGAGGTGCTCAGAGCTTCTCTCTGCCCACTGCAGACCCTGGAAGATACGAGGTCCTGCGCAGCGCGGCCTCGGCCCGTCACACCCGCCTCCTGCCCCTCGCCTTCTACAGGTAACATCCTGCCAGGCTCAGCAGGGAGGTTCCTGGGGGGGAGGATGTGCCTGAGGATGGAATCACAGAGCAGTGTGGGTGGGAAGGGACCTTTAAATGTCACCTGGTCCAAGCCCCCCGCAGTGAGCAGGGACATCTTTAAAAACCCACGGAGCCAGCACTAAGCGGATGTGGTGTGTGACCTCCTCCAGCCTCACCCCGTGCCTTCACCAGGAGCTGCTCACCAGGGAGCAGAGCTTCCTCCACACAGCACTCCAGCTGTACATCCAGCTGATGCAGCTCTTCGTGGAAGGGAAGGACCTGCCACAGTCAGAGCAAACGGGGCACAGCCCAGAGCCCACAGAGCATGTGAGTGAAACTCTTGATTCCCTTCTTTCCTCCTGGAACAGGCAGTCGTGTAACTGTGCAGGGGAGACCTTGCTCTGCATAGCTCCTGACAGGAGGCTGGAGCCAGGTGGGGGTCGGGCTTTTCTCCACGGAACAAGTGGCAGGACAATAGGAGCTAGCCTCAGGTTTCCCCAGGGAAGGTTGAGGGTGTCCCTGAGGAACAACTTCTTGCCCTTGAGGGTTGCCCGGGGCTGTGCCAGGCTGCCCAGGGCAGTGGTGGAGTCCCCACCCCTGGAGGGGTTTCCAAGCCGTGGAGATGTGGTGTGAGGGACACAGGGCAGTGGGGACCTGGCAGTGCTGGGGGAACAGTTGGACTTGACCTTAAAGGTCTTTCCCAACCAAACTGATTCTGTGAGCCTATGAATCCTGTTTTTTATCCCTTCCCCTGCTGCTTGCTCCCACCTTCCCACGCAGAGCAGAGGTGCAGCAGCTCCCTTGCAGGCAGGCACCTTGCTCACACCTTGGGATGGAGAGAAGCTGCTGCTGCTGTCCTGCTCTGCCCGAAACCTCCTCCCTGCTGCCCCGTCCAGGAGCTCCGGGTGGATGCAGTGCCTGAGGCAGGGATCTGCCTGACCAGCCCCTGGGTGCGGGGGGTCCTGTTTCTCTCTTGGAGGCAGGAAGCAGGAGCAGAACGTGACGTTGTGCTCGGCCTTGCCGGGCTGTGTCTCTGCCCGTGTCCTGCAGGAGGAGCCCCTGGAGCTGATCTCCACGGCCCGGCGGTTCCTGCTCGGGGCCATCCCACGCTGCCCTGCCGAGAGCTTTGGGGACATACAACCGGTGCGTTACTCCTCCCCTCTCCCGGGGGGGAGGGCTGGGAGCACTGCTGCTCCCCCAGCCTGGGCTGCTGCCTGGTCCCCACCACACTCTTGTGTTTCTGTAACGGGTCTGAGAGCAGTGGAGGACACCTCCTCCCTCCCTAGGTTGCTCATAGCCCCATCCAACCTGGTCTTATACCTTCCAGTGATGGAGCATCCACAGCTTCCCTGAGCAACCTGTGCCAGTGTCTCAGCCCCCTCACAGTGAAGAACTTTGTCCTGATTTCTCATCTGTATCTCCCCTCTTCCAGCTTGAAGCCATTACCCCTTGTCCTATTGCTACCAGTCCTTGCAAAAAGTCCCTCCCCAGCTTTCTTGCAGGCCCTAGATCTTTCCCAACCTTGACAATTCCACAGTTCTGTGCCTGCACAGTCAGCAGCCACTTCCCTCTCCCCTCCCTGCTTCAAAACTCATAACTCACATTGAGGCAGCACAAGAGGGTCTGACATGGGCTACCTGCCCTCTCCCCCCAGCTGCTGGCCACGTGTGAAGAACTCGACCCAGAGCTGGGAGCCACCCTCAGGCACTTCTTGAGGCCTCCCGTGGCCATGGAGCTGGACGAGGAGCTGCTCCTCTTCTGAGAGACGTGCAGCAGACAAGGTACCACCTTCCTCACCGGCGCCCTTGCTTTCAAATTACTTTGTAAATAATTTATTACAAGCATAACCATGAAGCTCTCATTACAATAAAAAGGAGGTTACAAATTTCGGTTTAGACTTTGCTTTTGGAATCATCTTTTTCTTTTTCCAGAACAAAACGTCTCGCTTAAAGTTGCTCCACTGTCCTCTTGGCACTGCTGGAGAGGCAGCAGCTCGTGCGGGCAGGGAACGGTTGTGACCTACAACCGTGTGCGTGGGGAGCAGGGGGACCACGAGGGGTGCTGCTGGCCACCCCCCCCAGGGTTAGACAGACTCTTAGTACGACACCGCTGGACCTGGACGTGAGCATGGAGAATCACAGCATGAACAAGCTTTTTCTGAGCAAGCTGAAGCTAATTCCACTGAGTTCTTTGGGAGACTAAACTGTAGATTAAACCTCTCCACTCTGCCCTGTGGTTTCTATGGGGCTGCACTGGGACAGCTGCTTCCCCGGCCCCTCAGGTGGGCTCCTGCTCTGCAGTCACTTCTGGCTTTACCGCCTGGCTCTCGGAAGTCCCTGAAGGATTTATGAGGAGAAGGGACTCTGGCTCCAGTGGCTTGGCTTTGTCCTGAGTCTGGGTCAGCAGGTGCACCATGGACATGTGGACGTTAAGGTTATGGGCCTTCTCGAAGCGCTTCCCACACTGGTCACAGGCAAACTCCAGCTCTGTCTCAGCTTTGTGTTTGGTCATGTGGTACTTGAGCGACGCTCGCTGCCTGCACTGGAACCCGCAGATCTCACACCTGCAAGGTGAGCAGGGGCTCAGCACCCCCTGGAGCCATGGCCCAGCCTTCGCTCTGCACCACGACAAATAACCCCCCAAGAAAACAGCCACAGCCTCGCTGCTTCCCCCTCACAGCACCTACAGCCACCCCTAGATCCAACTCCTTGTGGCATCCCCAACACCACCATTCATGCTGAGCCTGCCCCTGCCACAGGAGGAGGAGGAGGAGGCGTGATGCCTGCTCAGCAAGGGCAGTGCTGGAGCCAGGGGAGCATCTAAAGTGACAAAGCCAGGGCTCTGCCCCGTGGGCAGCAAGGGGAGAGCTCAGCCTGGCCGCCCCCTGCCCACCACGCACTTACTGGAGGGGCTTGGCTCCCGTGTGCCGCATCTGGTGGACCAGGAGGTGCTTGCGCTGCTTGAAGGTCTGCCCACACTCGTCACAGATGTAGTTCCGTACCTCTGCAGGAGAGAGGGTGAGGGGCAGAGCTCCTGTCAGGCCCAGGACCCCCACCCACGGCTGCCCACCCTCGCTGCTGGGGGCCCAATTCCCCCCCCGAAAAAAAAATGAGGCTGTTCCCACCCTGTGCAGGGTTCTGTACAACCCCCAGGCAGGTGTTTGCAGCCCTGCTGGGGGGCTGGGTGGGACACACCTGTGTGGATGAGCTTGACGTGCCGCTGTAGGTACCGGTCGATCATGAACACCTTGTTGCAGCCAGGGTGAGGACAGGGCCTCTCCCGAACCTCCTCGTGATGCTCTTTGATGTGTTTCTGTAAAGAAAGGACAGAGTTGCTGACTGCTGAGATGAAAAACCTGGAGCTGAGGAATGATTTCTTGCCCTGGAGGGTTGCCCAGGGCTGTGCCAGGCTGCCCAGGGCAGTGGTGGAGTCCCCACCCCTGGAGGGGGTTCCAAGCTGTGGAGATGTGGTGCTGAGGGACAGGGGTCAGTGGGGACCTGGCAGTGCTGGGGAAGTTGGGCTCAATGACCTGAAAGGTCTCTCCCTATGAAAACAACCCTGATACTATTCTGTGATCAGCACTGCTTCACTGTGAAAAACAGACCTGCACCCACACCAACCCCTGGCAGCAGGGGCTTTAGCAGGACAAAGCCCTCAGAGCTTGTTCTGAGGGCTGGTGCCAAGCCAGCAGCAGAATTCCAGAGCAGGGGGAGCACATGGAGCCAGAGCAGCAGCTCCTGGGAGCACAGAAGGCGGCCCCAGATTCTCAGCAGCCTTTGGTCAGCTGCCTGCTGGGGAGAATTTGCCCTGTCTGGGATCCTCTCCTCCCAGCAACGGCCCCATCACACCCAGACCCACGGGTCTGGGCCCGGAGCAAACCCCAAACTCACCTTCATGCCATCTGCCCCCCTGTAGACAGCCGTGCAGCCCTGGTAAGGACACTTGTAAATGGTCGGCAGCTCCTCCCTGCAAAGCAGAGGCTGTGTCAGCCACCACACTGGGGAGGGGCTGCCCGGCCACCCCCCTCCTCCTCCTCCTCCTCACCTTTCACCCTTGACTTTTTTTTTCCAGCCTGGCTTAGGCCCTGGTTTCTTCCTGATTTTGGGCTCTTTCACCTTCTTGGCTTCTTTGCTGTTGCTTTTCTTGCTAGAAACCCTTCAAAAAGGAACCAAGACAGGGGGTTAATGCTTGATCTGGGGTTTATTTTTTAAGTCCTCCCCACTAATCACTCCTGAATGCGACAACTTATCCTGGTGCTCCTCCAGGTAAAGCAGCAGCACCCAGACAAGCACCCGTGAGCCACCCTGTGGGGACTCACAGCAGCCCAGGCAGGAGGGGTGTGACCCAGCTGCAACCCGAGGGGGCAGGGGAAGGGGAGGGAAGCGAGGCCGTGCAGGACAACGATCCACCCGCAGCCCCTTACTTCTTCTCAGGGTAAGGCTCAAAGGAGTCATCTGAGGACTGCACGTTTCTCTTCTCATTCTCCTCGTCGCTCAAGAAGTCCCTGGGGGAGAAGACGCCCGTTACCGACCCAGCAACAACACGTGCTCTCCTCTCAGCACGGCGGCCGAGGCTCCTCGCCCGCTCCTCCCCCGACCTGCTCCTCCCCGGCCTCTCCCCCAGCAAAGAGCAAAAGGGGTCCTTTTTTGGACCAGATCTCTGTAAGAATAATTGAACCACTGTCAGGAGAACAAAAAAAAAAAAAACCCAGCTCATCAAAGACCCATTCAGCAGCGATTGATGTTGCTTTCTATACCGGGGCAAGTGATTTTGTAGTGCAAGGATGTAATGATCTGGCCCAGGTTAATTAAGCTGCAGGTCGGTCCCTATCCCCTCATAGGCAGCAGCCACAGAGGTTTGGGGTTTGCTTTTTCCTCCTCTGAAGTTCTAAGCCATACGAGCAGCAATTAATTCTGAAGGCAGGCAATAAACCACCGTGGCACATTTCAGCTTTAGCTGACACGTGGCAGTAAGCCTCTGCTTGGCCTGGCCTGCTTTGGACTTGAGAAGGGCTGCACTTAATTAGCAATAATTTACGAGCCTCGCTTTAAATACTGACATTTGAAGGATTTTGCAAAATCTTTGACCACAAAGCCTGCTAGGCAGCCAGGTCCCTCCCGCTCTCCCCGGGAGCCATCGGGGTGATTTCTTCGAGTCCCAGGGACCCAGCCAGGAGCTGTGGTGAAGGGGAATTGCCCCAGCAGCCCACCCTGGTGTGGGGCTGCAGCGGCGGCTCTGCCACCCCCACCAAGCCCCTGGCATGGAGCAGGGGGCACAAAACGGGACTGGGTTTGCTGGAAGCAGCTGAAAACCCCAAGAGGCCACCCTGCAGCAGGGAGGGTGAGGAGGGGAGGCTGGGTCACTTGGGGCTGTCCGAGGTGGGTCATTTCATACTCGCAAAGACATTTAGGCTGTTTGAAACCCACTCTTCTCTCACCCCTCAGAAAGGTCACTGAACTCGTCTTTTACCCGCTCATCCGACGTTGCAGACAGAACCTGCTTCCCACTCAACTGTCCTGGGGAGCGAAGGAGAACACGGTGTGTTACAAGGAAAAGCAGTGGAAAGCAGCCAGAGCCAGCCCAGAACAGCACAGCCACCCGCTGGGACAGAACCACCTCTCCAGGCTCACTCACACCGTGTGAGATCACGTGTGCTGTGCCCTTCTATTAAACCCAAAACTTGGCATCTTGTGGGCTCAGAGACCCTGCACCCAGTGACGGGGCAGCTGTTGCCCCATAGCTCCCACCAGCATCTTTGGGTTTCCCCATGCCACCCGTGCCTGTCCAGCAGCAGGCACCTCCTGTGAGCCAAACGCAGCCCACAGCTCAAACACCACGTGAGGTAACTGGTGTACAGGGAAATAACCAAATAACTGGATGGTCGCTGCCCCATCCCTGGAACCATTCCAGGTGAGGTTGGCCGGGGCTCTGAGCACCCTGCTCTAGTTGGGGCTGTCCCTGCTCCCTGCAGGGGGGTTGGATGAGATGACCCTGAAAGGTCCCTTCCCCCCCAGACCAGCCTGTGGTTCTGTGAACTCTTCTGGAAGTGGCGTTTGGGGAGTTCAGCAGTAAACCTGTGTTAACTCCCCTGGGAACTCTCCTTTGTGGGCACAGCGGGCTTGTGCTGTTGGGCACTGTGGTGAGGGAAACCCCTCCTGGCCAAAATACAGCCAGAGCTGGGACTGAGCAGGAAGGAACATCTGGCAATCATGGTGCTGGAGAACCAGTGACTGTTCTGCACCTCTCAGCAGGCACGTGAGACCGGGTCTTTGTGTGTGACGTAAAACTTCTCCCCTGTGAGGGTGGCCGAGCCTGGAGC